TGTAAAAATCTTCTAACCAGTTAATTAGATCTTGGTTTTCACCATAAAAATAAGGAAGGTCAGTGATACGTGATTCTTTTTAAGGTAGATTAGCTATTATAGCATTTGCATTGGCTTGAAGTTGGTTTATCAAATTGAAGACTCCATTATTAGTATTGGGAGTGGGTGGTGCATTTGGATTAAAAATTCCAGCCATTTGTTGTAAAGCTGCAGTGAGAGTTTGTATATCAGCTTGATTGGCTTGCCATTTCTTCAAATAGATTTTCTAAGTTTAAATTTTCGTCATTATATAATAGACTGTGATTAGGTAAATAATTATTAAATATATCACTAGAGATAGTTGAGTCAGTATCGTCAGATATAATAAAGGGTGGTATAGAGGTTATCCCTGATATCTGATATAATATAAGTAATGGGTTTAAAGCAAATCGTTTTATTAGAATAAAGACGTTGTATATATTTTGCCTGACTATTATAGAAGATTCGTTAAATCTAATATTATATTGAATACTGAAAATAAGATTGTGTAAAGCGTTGTTTATTGCGTTAACAATACCAATATAGAGATTGGTATAATTAAGTTCTTCCAAATATTATTGTATATATCTGGTAAATGTTACTGCAAGATTTTAGCAGTAATCCAATTCCAAAATTGTTGAAAACACTTAGATGTAACTTGTTCAAGACGATAACAAATGTAGCAGAATCTATCACAGTGATACGCAGTAATATTATTCAAATTAAAATTGATGTGTAATTGATTATGTTATTGATTATTCAAATAATGTTCATCAAATATAAACATTTTTTAACAAAAATAAAATAAAATTTCTGGCAGAAGGCACTAAGTATTATTATCAGTTCTTTATATTGCTTTTAAATATTATAAACGAACGGATAATATATGTAGTAAGCAAAAGGTTTAATTTATAGTTGAGATTGGATAAAATATAGGTATCAATAGTTTATTTGATATATACTAGTAAATGAGTACTGTCTCAAACATTGGTGCTTCTGTACTATATAAATGTTAAACTAAACTAATCTAAACTTATTCCTATAAGTCTTTATCTGAGTGAACTCTTTCCAAATCTCTAAGGATTCTAACTCATATTTATATAAAATAAAATGTATATAATCATTAATAACATTAAATAAATAAACTACATTAAATAAATAAATAAAGAAAATAAATAAAATAAGTTAAATAAATAAACTAAGTTAACAATATAAACGAGTTAGACAACATAAACAAGATTAATAAGATTAACATAGTTTCTAAGGATCTACATTAGGAAGATCATCCTAATGATTTTTCATGTAACATTATTTAAAAATATATAGCTCAGTATAGTTTATAATACATGTTAAATTTTTAGATGAAAATCAAAATTTCAGAATTTTTGCAGGTAAATATGTTTGCAAAACCTGATAAAGGAAGGGAAAGAATTGTTCTGAATTTATAGAAGCTGTTCTTTGATAGAATTGTTTATAAGTAAGGATTGTAAAATTTTGTTATTACAGCTAATTTCATAATTTATGAACTATAATAAATTGTGACTAAATGCAATTGAAAATATTTTATAATAAAATTACTATAAAATATTGTGATTGAATGTGACTGAAAAATTATTAATAGTTTATAAATTATGAAATTAGTTGTAATGATTATGTTATTATAATAATAGTTGTTTTCTTTTAGCCATGATAATATAACAATAACTTTACTACAATGAACATAAAAATCTCTGAAAGTAGTTAGATTATTTACTGATTGTCATCAGATTACAAGTACGTCTATTAATAATGGTTGTTATGGTAGCTAATTTGTGAATCCTTAGATATCTTAGAGAAAATTTATAACATTTTCCCTATATCTGTTTTATCCTACTCAAAGTTGATACAATCAAACCTTAATATAGCGAACCTTTGATATAGCGAATTTTTAAATCAAATATATTAAAATTACCTTACTATAGTGAACTAACCAATTAAATTCTTTAAAAAATTCTTTATAAGCTTATAATGAAGTTGATATTCAGATCCTAGAATTCGTTATATCAAGAGTTCATTATATATAGATATTATTAGGAATACATGTGCAATTAGCATTTCTTTAATTTTAGTAAGTTCTTTAAGTTTTTCAGATACATTTCTAAGATTCATGTTGTTTTGTGCTGAAAACCTTTTTATTGACTCCTTTTTCATATAGTAATGCTAGCATATTCCCTTAATGATAACTATCATTAGAATTTATTTATTACAAATAGGACAACTATTATACTGAATATTATTCATTTTCTTGCAAAAATTATCTGATCCTTCTCATTAATAATGGTTGTTGTGTTATTATTCTCTTGTTCTAATTTATTACAATTTAGTTCGATTCTATTTTGTTGTGATTAATGAGTAGCACGCTTACGTTCATTTTTATGAGCAAGATACATATCACATTGTTTAGTGATCTCTACTTACTTTTTCTGCTGTCTTCCTTCATAAATACTTGTAAGTTACAATTTATGATTATCGTTCATTTCTACTGCTCTTTTTTTACATGTTTAATCACACTCATATGTAAGTCTTTCTTCCTATTATGCAAAATTTTCATTTTTTTTTTGATTTCACTTTTGAAGCATCTTAGGATTAATGGTATGATTCATTTTGATTATGTGATGCAAATTTAGTAATGAATTTATAAGATAATTTATATTTTATTAATGAAATTTTATTTATTTTTTAATATAAAGCAATTTAAACATAAGAATCCAAAAATTAAAAAAAACAATTTAGGGCTGAAAACAATCAGATCATTTTTAATGTTGATAAATTTATTTTACTTTTTATTATACGACTTTGGTCATTTTACAAATAATTAATTTTACTTTTTACTAAATTTTATTATATATTAATTAAAAATTAAAATTAAAATAATTAAAATTTGTATGTAATACTACAATTTGTGTTCTTCGTGATCATTAGTTAAACTTTTTAGCATTAATTTTTAGCTATTTATGGTAATTAGTATATGCTATTAAAAATCACCTTAAGTAGTAAATCATATGATAAGTAAGGTGATTTTAATAGCCGATCATATTATAATTACAACTAGGAGAAGTATGTCACAAGGATGAGTTATAGGGTGGGCTTCGGACTCCACAACGGTTCCCGTTTACTAGTAGGTCTATGACCTTGGTCATTTGCCAATTTTGCCAATAAAAATGCAAGTTACGCCACTTTAGACCAATTAACCAATAGACCAGTAAGACTTGGTTTATTGCCAACCGACTTCGATTTTAAAAGTTAAAAAATTTTTTTTGTTTTATAATAATAAATTCGATTTATTAAATAAAGAGTTGATCACATGATCATATCCCCGATCGACGCGTTTTCTTGACATTTTTTTTAGTCGATCTAATACGAATCGAAACATGGGACAGATACTAAACCTTTGAAGTTTTTTTTTGGACTGGGAAACATTAAATTTATGCAATTCTTATAAAAAAGACCACGAATAATCTTTAATTATTTGTACGTTTATATTATTATAAAAATCTTGTTTATTAAATTTTATTAAAATGAACACCATTATGTTTACATAGAAAGTTTGCTTTTAAATAAATTTTTTTATTGGTAACTTCCATGTGAAATCTTCACCTTAACCTTTTGGAACAAACAGACAATTAATACTTTGTGATTTTTTGAGATTCAATAATTACAGAGAAGATTTAAATGATTTATTTACCTCTATAAAATATTTAAGTATCTTCTTCATCGAAAAATTCAACATAATTTATTGACTTTGCGGTTGATCGACGAGGACGTTTTTTAGGTCTCTCTGAGACTTCCTTAGTCTCCACATACTCATCGTCATCGACAACAGGCGTGAAATAGTCATCAGATAATACCTTATTTTTCACCCTAACGTTTTTCCCTTTACCTCGATTCTTCCTTTTATCAAGGTACTCGTTATCTTTTTGAATTAATGAGGTTAATTCTTCAATATCTTCGTGATGGTCTTTAGCGTCAAAAGATTTATTAATTGACAATGATGCTCTTTTCCTTTTTCCCACGTCGTCAACTGATTCAATGGGCAATGATCGTTTCTTTCCCACTATGTCGTCAACCGATTCAATGGGTAATGATCGTTTCTTTGATCGTTTCTTTCCTAACATGCCATCAAGTGGTTCCTCAGTAGGTAATGATATTTTCTTGGGTTTAGGTTTAGATAATGATTGCGGCGTGATCTCAGTGATTTCAGCAGGTTTTATTTGGACATCCTTTGTTTTAAATTGCGTCTGTTTAAGAATTTCCTGAAATTTATTTAATCGTATTAACAATATTAAAAAATTATTATTATTGTTTTAAATCATTAATAAATAAAAAAAATGGAAAATTTATAAATTCACAACTTACATTCCAAGATTCGATAAAACAATCTAGATCCTCTATCCACATCTGTTGGGGTTCTTTATCCCTAAGTTCGTTAAGTTCTCGTTCTTTAGCGGCTTTTATCTTTAGGATTTTTTGCTCCTAATACGAAAAAGGTTATACTTTCATTAATATATCACAGAATAAAACAGTTTATTTATATCAATGAGAAAACTTACGTTTTCTGAACTGAAATTCCACGCTGGAAATTTCATCAAATAATCATATCCATGATCTTTATGAAAATCAATATGAGGATCATCAATGTCAAGAGCATCTGCATCCTTATCAGCTGCATCCTTATCGTTATCATCATCATCCGTAATTCTATCAAAGCCATTGGACTCTAATAATTTTATAATCGCAATTTTCGAAAGGCCTTCATAATGAAGTGTCTTGTTAACCTTCATTTCAACAAATTTGGCTTGATTCAAAAATTTTCTAACTTCAATTTCAAGTTTATGTATCATGTGAGCCTAAAAAGTTTTGAGAATTATAAATTTAGAATCCTACTCTATACCAATTAAATTAATAATTTTAATTAATATAAATAAATACGAACCTTCCTCTTTTCATAGTAATCGAGCCTGTATTTGTAAAATTCCTTTAGAATTTCTTCGGGTGAATCATATTTTCGAATACGACCTTTGCCATCAAAACACACCATGTTCAACGTTCCGATGGGCGAGCTCATCATGAATCGGTTTTCAAGTCCTTCTTCTAAACAATCTTTTAGACTTTCTGACGATAATTTGACCGTAAAATCTACGGTAGTTGTCGTATGTTGTTCTTTGTAATTCTATTTATAAAAAAAATAATTTAATAGAATATTAAAAAAATTCTAAGGCAGATTAAATACATAAAAATTTACGTACGAGGATCCATGGCATTTTTTTATATGTTCCAGATATACATTTCTCAAGTCGTTCTTTATATTTTTGCGTCCATACACGAATTGGTAATTCGGTTATTCGGATTAAGTCATCATTAACACCGATTTTTCCATAATTCTTGTATTTGCCATTGCTAATTTCCTCAATATCTCCCTATAAATTATGAGAAAAATAATTTAATATAAAGAGAATTCAATGTCTGTTAAAGGATTTATCATTCAAAACGTTACCTGGAAGCCACGGTACCATGGGTGCATCGGCACCGTTTCTTCATTATTGATTAATCGTTTTAAATTGTCAACGATTTCTTGAGGATTATAATTTGGGATAGATGAACTCCAACCTTATAATTATAAGATGAATCAATATATTATGCGATATGTAAGATACTAAAAATGGCGGGGGGTTAAATTAACTCACCGGTTCCGATTCCCTCGGATCCATTAACAAGGATCATTGGCAGAATTGGCAAATACCATTCTGGTTCAACCAACTGACCATCATCATTCATATAAGTTAATAAGGAATCATCTTGTGGGTTGAAGATCTTTCGTGTAATGTCGGGGATAGTGACGCTAATATATCGCGCGCTAGCTGCATCCTTGCCCCCCTGAGCCCTTGTGCCGAATTGTCCCTCGCCATGAAGTATATTGACGTTGTTTGAACCTACGAAATCTTGAGCCATTCCGATAATGGTACCGTGAAGGCTCGCATCACCATGATGATATGCCGCTTGTTCTAAAACAGCCCCGGATAGCGAAGAAACTTTAATTTCCTTCTTATAATTTTTTTTGAAGCAAGTGTACAATACTTTTCGTTGTCCCGGCTTTAATCCGTCGAGGACACTTGGAATCGAACGTTCATTGTCGGCTCGACTGAACAAGATCAACTCTCTATTTATGAAATCTGTGATCGTGATTTCTTCTTGCTCATCATGATTCATGAAGGTACCGAACTAGAAGAAGATAAAAATTTAGAATGCGAATTTATCGTTAAAAGGTTTACTTACATTCTGGAATCAGGGTAACAGAAAAAAAATTCTATACATACTTCAAAATTACTTAACCATGTCTTGCGATCATCAGCTTTCTTTTTATTAAAGGCCATATCGATCAACTCTCGTTCACCTTCTTTCATAGGTGCAAAAGGTTTTTTATGGCGCTTTAAATTTCTAAAATATTGTTTAGCTTCTTTGGTATTTGAAGTGCCAAGACCCTAGGAACAGGAGTATTTATCATATTAGTTACATCCCTTTTTGTAAAAAAATATCTATAAAAGAAAATTACCTTGTAATATTTAACCTTCCAATTTTTAGCATCAGGTGTCTTCGCCATCCAATTTTCATACTCAGGCATAGTGAAGAATGATACTTCTTTATCACCCTTCGTACACTAATAAAAAAAATTGTTTAATGATTATTGGATCTCAAAAGGTTATTGCATTAGCGTGATTGAATGGTTTCATACCTTTACAATTGGTGTGATAAATTCCCATAAGAAACCCGGAATTTTTAGCAAGGAGGGAAAGAAATGATCCAAGAAATTGATGATCAATCCTTTTATATGACTTCCATCGTGATCTTGATCCGTCATGATCATCAAATGCCCATATCGTAATTCACTTGTTGATGTATATTCTTTTCCTTGCTTCAGTCCAAGGATTTGCTTTATTTGTTGAATTTCTGTATTATTCATGATCTGAGAGTGGGTACATTCACGAACATTTAAAAGTTTTCCACGGAGTGGGAAAATTCCATAATAATCACGTCCAACTTCGGAAAGCCCGGCAACCGCCAAAGTTTTTGCAGAGTCACCTTCGGTTAGGATTAAAGTGCAGTCCTGAGCATTTCTTCCACCAGCCTTGTTTGCATCTTCCAATTTTGCGATCCCTGAGATCCTATTAAAAATATATTGGAATCTAATTAACAAAAAAAATTTTTTTTTTTAATCAATTTTCCCCTCCCCACCGACAATTTATTTACTTTTTACTCTTCTTTCCATCTGTCTTCTTTAATTCTTTACTTTGTTTATCATTAACATCATCCAGAATGTGATCAACGATACCACATTTGAGAACTAATAAATAGGAGAAAAATCAAAGGGTCACATTTAAAAAAAAATATTTTTTTTTTGCAAGCATAAAAACAAAGTAATATGTGATATAGTACAATTACTTACGTTTATTAAAGAAAGCGTCACTTGGATCACACGTAGATCCAAATGATGTGGCTTTTAATGTAAGATTTTCTTTCGTCTGGGAATCGAAGGATGGGTTTTCAATCAAACAGTTGATGAATATCCACATATGATTTTTGATTTGATTCTTTTTAATTTTTGCATCCTTCTTCTTGATTTTGACCGATGTCATGATTCTTTCAACAAGTTTATCTGCGATGTAGTTAACGTGGGTACCTCCTTTCGTAGTACATATTTTGTTAACGAAGCTTGTCTATTATTTTTGAATGAAAAGTATACGAATGATGTTAAAAAACATTTCATGCAAGATCAAGTATTAAAAGAAGAAGAAGAAAAAACTTACATGATGGAATTGAGAATCAGGAGAGGGAAGGACTCCAATTTCCCATCGTTCACCACACTTTTCATATATTAATGAAGATATTAAGTCTTCGCGATCAATCACATACGATTGTATGTATTCTTTAAAATTATTGATGTCTATCTGTTCATCATTCAAGAACACATTAACATTCCCAACACTCCCCGCCAAGTCGTATACACGTTTTTTTATGAGGCCAATTATGTCATCATCAAACCGACTCATTTTGAACTTTTGAAAATCTGGTTTAAATTTAACCAGAGTGTAATCGTTTTTTGAATCCATCCCCCCCTTTTTTTTATACAACGGGTGATTGTTGATAATTGGTTCTTCGATTTCATTACTGTTGTTCCTGAAAGTTTGGCGATATATTTTGCCATTTGAAGATGTTTCCAAAATGAACTCCGTACTATATATGTTCGTTAATTTAGCACCTAAACCATTACGACCCCCGGAAACTTTCTTTAAATTATCATTAAAATGTGAAGATGTAAAAAGCTGAGAAAAAATAAGTTGAGGTATGTAGACATCTTCAACTTCGTGAATTTCAATAGGGATTCCTTTTCCGTTATTAAAGACGGAAATTTGGCCTTCTTCTTTGTCAATATTAACTTTAATAACGTTCATTTTTTGGTCTCGAACCTGAAGATTAAATAAAAATTTTAAATAATCAACACAAAACTTAACGACAAAAGTAACTAACAGAACGTTTCCCAATATGCATACCTTATTGTCAACAGCATTTACAAAAATTTCATCCACTATTTTATATAATGCAGGTACGTAGGTAATTTCTCTGTGAGAAGAAAGGTACATGAGATATGACGTGTTTGAAAAACTTTTATAAACTTCAAAAAAAAAATTACCTGGAAACAAACTTTTCCAATTCATCAATTATCCACATATCTTCATTTACCGAGTCGATAGAGCCGACATATGAGTCGGGTCTTAATAGGACATGTTCAACTGGCACCACTTTTCGATATGTTTCTTTTGATGTTGTGTTAGGCGTTTGTTGTTTACGAGGTGATTTGGTAACCTTTTTTGAAGTTTTAGTGGTTTTCGAAACGGTCATTTTGTAAAGAAATAAATTGTTTTTTATTTTATTTTTTTTTTTTGACGAAGAATAGTGTGAAAAGTATAAATTTTGTGATATTATTTATATAAATTTTTAATTCGAGAATCACGATGATGGGTACCCCAAAAATAACGCACAAATTTTTTTTTGATCAAAAAAAATTTTTGATGGGAAGATTTTCAACAATGCTGAGAAAAATTTCTTATCATTTCAATGTATGAGATGAGGAGATCATATGTGTAAAACCGAAACTGATAGAATTGGGTTAATCAACATGATTTTCAATCCAGAATAATCCAATACCCTGATCAGTTTGGCGTAAAAATCAATAATTTCCAAAATAGATTAAACTATGATTTTACCTTTTAAATGTGTATATTGTTTAAAAAAAATTGATAAGATCAGTTATTCAAATTTTTCACATGCACAAACTTCCAAAACAACTAAAAAAAAAAACGAAAGATTTTTCTTATCAAC